GGCAGTTCTGAACCGATAGCGCTGAATTGTGTCTATCCTACTATCCAATAGTACCTTGGTGCAAATTTCATCAAAATCGGAAGACATCGATTTTTAAAGTTGGGTCACTTGACACGAAATGACCTATATAGCATTCCCATGCGTCCAGTATATATTGATAACGTATCGTTATGTTTCAATTAGGAAATATTAACCAATATTTTCAGATCCTTGGTTAACTTATACCACTTATACCCAAGCAATTTGTTGTATACTATATACATTAAAGCATTAGTTAGAATTGGTCTAATCACGCTTTTATAAAGGCAGTCTGTCACAATCGGAGTTAGGTCCCATTTCGTATCTAGCTGCCAGCACTGATGTGCCTTGTTGATCTTGAAAATAGAGACTTTTTGAAATATGAATAGACAATTTTTACAAGATTGAAATAAGTCATGAATTTATAAAATTACTGCATGAATTTGAAGGATTCCAAAATTTTCAGACATTGTTTAAGGTTAGGAGGATGTATCTACATCTGTTGTGCGCTCCATTTCATGGAAAATGTTTGTTGGTAAAAACAAAAACCTTATATAGTATTCACTAAATGTATTATCGTCCGATGTTCAGAAACTCAGTTTCCTGGACGTAATTCCTAAGAATTTTCCAATCGTGAGTCTTCGTGAGGGATATTATGTCCGTAATAATATCACTTCCAAGATATTTAAATCTAATTTCGGCGAAAGCCTGACAATGGCAGAAAGTGCTCCAGAGTTTCACTGTCCTCTCTACATGCTCTACATTCGTCCGAATCCGCACGTCCAATTTTGTATAGCTGTGCCCGACATTGTTTTAGTAAGTAATAATAAATAAATAAAAGTAATAAATAATAAAAAAATGTAAAAATCAATATAATTTCTGAACATAATGATATCAAAGTACATTATATGTACATGTAATTCCCCATAAGTTTTGAATATGAGTATATTCTTCGTCAATTAACATATATGTGTGTATGTATATGTGAATATGATTGAAAACACAATTACCATTTATACATCGATGCTCATTTAAGATAAGGAAATACCTTGCTATATCTAGTTGCTATCTTTCCATAGATACTCATCTCAAACTTTCGCTCTCTTACAAATTCTCACATGTAAAATAAGGGAAAGCAAGAAAAATTGCATATGTTTGGATTAGGATTTAAAATAGGATTTGGCTTAAATTTATTTAAAATATAGATGTAAGATGTATGTAAGATGTATGTAAGTAAATACAACATAAAAGAATAAACCACGTAATCTGTAGGCGCTCTATTTAAATAAATTACTCAATATATTAAAATAACATTGTTTTTAATAGGTTCAACAATGGTCAATACAATGTACATTATATTATGTATTGTATCCGTATGTGTGGATTTGGGGGAAATGTTCATTTTTCATTTAAGAAACAACGGAAGTTGTTTTCGTTTGTTTGTTGTGTGTTTTTAAAACAAAAATATGTGTGTAATTTGATAGTTTTTGTTTGGAAACAATTTGTGAAAATGTATGAAAACAAGCATGCGAATGAATAAACAGCTTCTCTCTTAGTTTTGACCAAAAATAGCAACAATTATAAATCCGCTTATACATATTTGTTATTTATACTATGCGCCACTTATTTTTGCCTTTTTTCCATATTATTGGTAGATATGCAGGATATTTTTGTGGTTGGCCTTTTTTTAGGGTAATTTGATCATACATGAACATTATGGAAGCTCATGTGAAAAAAATGAATCTTTTGATCTGCAGCGAATTTATATAAGTAAATTTAATTACTGCAATTGGAATACAGATCTTTAAATATGTGTATGTTGTGTAAATATTCATGAATAGTCAGACTGGGTCCATATGTCTTTTTGTCAACAGTACTAGTTTAAATGTCTCCAATCTTTCATTTCTGTGTCAATATAAAAAATACAGAGACAAAAGATGTGGTGTATATATAACGACATTGTCAACAAACATGTCAATATTTAATATTTAAGTTTTTAAAATTGGGTTAGTCAGCCCTGAAAAATGTACTAAATTTTTGTTAACTTAAATAGCTGAGCTGTGAATTAGTTTATTAGTTTTTATCTCATTTTTTTTGTTAAATAAACTTATCATTCAAACAATAGTGTACGACTTAATTTATTTGATTTGGTACCGGCTTAAAGGCCCTAATATTAAAAAAAGTAAAAAAAAACTAGTGACAATGTCGTATAACACCACCTATTACTATTGATATTGCCTACAGGAAAGTTCCATACTGTTATAGAAATGTACTAGTAAATTCCTGATTCTAATGTCACCATATGGATCCATGAGAAGTACCTAGTCAATACCAAGTCAATAGTCATAATGTTACTAGCGGATTTTCAATGACACGCGCATGTTAAATGTCAATAGCACTAAGCCTTGTATGAGGTATAACTCGACACTAGTACTATTGACAAAGTCAATAGCGATTCTGCACATTTTTAATATTGACATTTCCTACAGGGCATAAAGAAATGTGTATGTATATAGATCGACTGTACAGACAATAATTATTTCTGTCCGTATGGATCCATTGCTTTAAGTTATTTATGTCAAAAATATATTTTTATCAACAGGGAAACCAAAACTCTTAAAAAAAGAAGAATGTGTGTTTGTTTGTATGTTTATATGTTTGAACGTTATAGACTACTAAACGGCTGAATCGATTTTATTCAAATTTTCACAGCGTATTCCTATATGTCTGGAATAGGTAATATTCTACTTTTTATTTTGAAATTCCAAGTGGGCGAGGAGCCACGCCTATATTAAGAAAATATTAAATCCGTATATTTTAGATGATATAACAGTTAGAGTCCTCAAATTTTGTCGGAACAACTTTAGTGTCAATATAATTATTTAGGACAAAAAGTAGGCGGACTATCATTAGGGGGCGTGGCACCTCCCATATATATTAAATACAAAAATACGTTTATCTTGGAAACTATTACAGTTAGAATCTTCAGATTTTGCACGAAAAACTTTAACATCCATCTAAACACTTTGGGTAATAAATTGGCGAACTACCCATGAGAGAAGCGGCACTTCCCATATTAATTAAAGACAAAAATTCGTTTATCTGGAAAACTAATGGAACTAAATTCTTCAAATTTCGCACGAAGAACTTAAATATTTATCTGAACATTTCGGAGGAAAAAAAAGCGGACTTTCATCTGGGGGTTCTTAAATCCCCCACATGAATCAAATAGAAAAATTCGTATATCTGAGAAACTATTAGAGCTAGAATTTACATGGAGAACTTTGAAATTCATGTGAACATTTGGAGCATAACGGGCGGACTTTCAATGGGTGGCTTGGAACAACATATATGAATTAAATACAAAATTTCGTGCATCTTGGAAACTGTTATATTATTCAAATTTTTTATAGATAGATAGAAATTGGCGATAGATAGAAATTGGCGACCTTGCAACAATTTGCTTGACATCTTTCATATGTAACATATAATAAATCTGGTATTTATTTATACATATTCCTTTTAGGGTAGCAAAGCACACTGGGTTTAGCTAGTATGCAATAAAAAATAAAAAAATGCTCTTTAAATCCAAAGCCATTTTATGCTTGATCGAGAATTTAGTGCGTAGTCGAATTTTTCTTCGAAATTTGAAAATAAAAAATATTTTAAAAAATAAAAAACATTTAAAAAAATCAAAATTAAAAAAAATCAAAATATTAAAAAAATGGAAAAAATATGCCCTAAAAAACTATCCCAGGGATAAAATATGCCCTAACAAATCTATCCCAGGGATAAAATATGCCCTAACAAATCTATCCCATCTATTCCTATCCAATCCAATATATCTTAAATTGAGACTGAGACGTATAAATACATTATCCATAAGTCCACATATGCATTTGCATATTTGGGGTTCCCTGTTGATCGCTTTCCTTACGCATTTAGAGCCAGTTTTCAACTAAAATATCAAACGCCAATTTATAAGATAAATTACTTTGAAAGTCTTCGGCATTTTATTCATTGGCCGCTTGAACTAGTATACAAAGGATAATAAACAACTTCAGAATATAATGTTTAGTTTAATCGCTAAACTTTAAACTGACTCTAAGTTATCTTTACGCGCATGGGTTGCAGTTAAAACTTTCGTTTAACTTTTCCTAATCCACCACTACAAAAGTTTGTTTGTTTGTTTGGTAGTGGACAACTCTCAATGTCCACTTATAGGCTTGTGGGTATACTCTATACGGTTAAATATGGCGTTCAAGTCGAAAGTGTGTAATTTTGACATTAATCTGAAGAAATCGAGCGTTACAGAGCAAAAACTAACTATTTTTTTTAATGTAATGAAGATACATATGATCTATGAGGCATCGGCAGTATAATTTGACAGATTTTTCACTTTTCCATATACATATGGGCAATTTCGTGTCAAGTGACCCAACTTTTAAAATCGATGTCTTCCGATTTGGATGAAATTTACACAAAAGTTAATACTATTGGATACTATTTTGAGCTGCCACCTTCAAAATTAACTTTAATTAATACCATACGCTTTAATTGGGGGTACATAAGATTTGGGGGCATGGCCGAATATAACACCCTTTCTTGTTAATTTTGAAAGAAGGCTGCAGTTTAGCCCCAATCTTTGTTTTTTCTCCACGTAATTGTCTGGGACCAAATAATGACACCTGATTATAAATATTCCTAAATGCTTTTTCATGCTCTATTCGGAATGGATAGCGCCGATTTGATGTTTTAAAATTTAGAATATTCATTATTACTGTGATTAAGGGTCTGAAGACTGCTGTGGCCATCTTTAAACCTAACTATCAATTTATAACTCTGTATTTTCAATAATAAAAATCAGTTTTTGAACATATTAATATTATTTATTAAAATATTGTTAAAACTATAACTTAAATATTAAAATTAATTTACAAAATTATTTACAATTAAAATAAAACCAAATTTATAAAAAAGTACTATTCGATATCTATAACATCCTCTGGTTCAGGACTTGAAGCATTAGAAGATAGTGTGGAATCATAACATTCTTCTTTTTCACGCTTTTCACGTCGTTCACGGGCACGACGATTCTGGAACCATATTTTAACACGAGTATTTGTCAAATCCAATGATTCTGCCAATTTATTGGCATCTTCAGCACTTAAATAGTTGGAATTTTTATAGGCATTCTCTAGGGTTTGTAACTGAGCAGGCGTAAAAGGTATGCGTGGAAGACGTCCAGGAGTACGTTTGGCCGGTCCTTGACGTAAAGATCTGGGCAACTTTGGTGGATGATAGCGGGAATATTGTAACCAATCCAATACAGGCATTTCCTCCAAACATTGCTGTTGTTGTTCTTGTTGCTGCTGTTGCAATTGTTTCAAAAATTCCAATTTATTTTCATGATCATTTATGACCATCATAAATGGATGAAATTGTGGAATTTTATTATTACGTTTAATAATGCCGAGTGAACGATTAGTTCCTTCATACTTTTCACCGGCTCTATTTAATATATAATCAATACTAAAATCACTCATATTGGAAATAAACAAAAAAATTAAAATAATATTTTAAGGAAGACAAGAGCAGATCCTTTTCAATTGCTAGTAAATGTTGTACTGTGCTAATTTTCAAAAACGTTGCTGATTTTAAAGGATCTGTAGCTAAAGGCTCCTGTTAAAACTCCATTTTTAATTCATTTCAATTTCAACATTTGCCATTTCATTTCATATTGTTGTCTCCTTTTAAACGCAAAATCCTAAATTCATTGAAATATTTGCGGTTTGCAGCTCTATTTACACACATACAAACAAAAAGGGGCGTAACTCATGCCACACTACTCTAGAGTCTAGATATATTATTCGCCGTACTTGAAATAAATTACAAAAACAAATACTTTCAGTAGTTTATCAGGTAGTAAATGAATCTGTTATCATCTTATCGCCATTCATACGAACAGACAACAGACAAGAAACCCTCATCAAAATGTAACGCGCCCATTTAAACAATATTGCTGAAATTGTATCGGTTTTTTAGGCATATCTTATGCAAAATATGTTTTGGATTTTCTTTTTTAAAGTCTCATGTATGATTGATTTTCGTTACAGATTAAGCCAAAGCAGTATATTACATTTGTATTAGATGGGAAAATAAGTTGAAAAGCATATTTTGATATGTTTTGATTGGAAAATAATTATAAACATGTTATTTATAGTCGTGTAAACATAACAAAAATAATATAAATTTACTTAAGCCTTTCAGTATAATACGAGTGCAAAGAATTATATAAGCGAAGTATTACACGATATGAAAAATTACAAAAGGTACATATACACTATCGGACAAAATAAAGTGCAAAAGTGCTCATGCTACATTATTTCATCGAAAAATCGGTTAAATGATTATTGAAAATGGAATTTTTTTTCAAAATCATTTAGTTTATATACAATGTTACAAAAATAACAATAAAACTAAATTATTATGCTCAAAATTTTTCTGTATAACATCTAGAATTAAAATAAATTCACTTTTTTGTCGGACAAAATAAAGTGTAAATTTTATATATCATTATTTAAAATTCTTGTATATCAAAATTTTTTATCTATTTTGGTTCTGATTTGAATATCTGGATCTACTCAAGCCATTTTTGTAATTTTTTTACCATTATTATTCGCAATCGCTTTCACTTTGCTTGCTTTCTCCCATACTATTATTTTCAAAAGAAATCCGTTTTTGTTCGCTATTTCAGCGGAATTTTGTGATCAATTGTGGTCAAATATTAATCTATTAGATTTAGGGCGATGCTCTGAGCAGGTCATTCAAATTTTTCAGTGTTTTTTTTCTTACAATAATGTTTTTGACCTTAGTCGTATGTTTGAAGTCATGAATCGGTTGAGGCATTAAGTCTCCCAAACCCATTTTTACGGCATTTATTTCAAAATTTTTATTAAATACGCTCGTGAATTGCTCATTTGTTATTGCTTACTCCATTTTCACTAAGATTCTCGCTCTTAAAGTTGAATAATGTAACAATACCGATAGCCCTCCACCATAATGTTTAAAACCTGGGGTATTGTTTTTAAAATTTTGTATATTGAAGGGCTTAACTCGCACTCATTGTCGACATTTCAAAATTTTCGGTAGAAATTGGGACTCATCTGACCAACTACGTAAATTTGAGCTAAAAATTACGAAATTAAATACTAAAATCGAAAAAATTTTTAAGCTTTTAAATATGTTGGTGAAAGATTGAAGGTATGGGTCAGTTGACTCTTCGTATGTGTCCAATTTTTAACGTTAGGTGTGAGGAACCTAGGTGAAATTTATTCAAAAAGCTCCAATGAACACTATATAAGCATATTACAGTCAAATCTTAAGATCAGTGCCTTCGAAATGGACTTGGGCAACTTTATATTTCGGCAAGATAATAAGCTTAAGCACTTGTTAAAGTTAAAAAAATAACATTTCTGTAGGAAAAATCACTGAAAAATTGGAATGTCCTGCTCAGAGCACCGCCCTAAATCCAATAGATTAACTTTGGACCACAATTTATCAAAAAATTTCGATGAAATAGTGATCTAAAACGTATTTCTTTTGAAAATTATCATATGGGGATAGCAAGGGGAAGGGAAGGCGATTGCGAATAATAATGGAGAACAAAATTACCAAAATGGCTTAAGTAGATACAGATGTTAAAATCAGAACCAAAATAGATAAAAAATTTTGATATACAAGAAATTTAAATAATGATATATAAAATTTACACTTTATTTTGTCCGACAAAAAAGTGAATTTATTTTAATTTTAGATGTTATACAGAAAAATTGTAAGTACAATAATTTAGTTTTATTGTTATTTTTGTAACATTGTATATAAACTAAATGATTTTGAAAAAAAATTCCATTTTCAATAATCATTTAACCGATTTTTCGATGAAATAATGTAGCATGAGCACTTTTGCACTTTATTTTGTCCGATAGTGTATATATACTCTCCACGCGACCTATTGCAGTTTGTAGGTCAAGTAGAGTAGTTTATAACACAATTTTTCGAATTTTTAATATACCAAAAAATCGGGATTTTTCCCAAAATTGTTGTGGAACTTAAAAGTTTGTTAAAAATATAATAATTTAAATATGGTGTTATGAACAAACTACCGTTGGTCACGTGGAGAATATATTTCATTTTTGTAATTTTTCATATGATGTAATAGTTTACCACTTAAAACACACACACACCTAAAACTAGGGAATTTTATTGTAGCTCCGAATTATGGGATTATAGTCCGAATTATGGAACTAAGTGTCACAATTAATGACATCTGTGCTAAGCGACATATTTAAGGTCAAAGGTAATACAAATCAGATTAATTTAAAACCTCACTTATTATACATCCTATAAGTTAATATGTTATTACCAGGGAAACCAAAAATATGCTCTAAAATTTTTTAAGCGCATTAAATTTGCAGTGAAAAACTCACCAGTAAAAGTGTTATAATAGGCTATGCCGAATCTTATGTGCCCACCATTAAAGCGTGAGTCGTAAAGATAAAAGGTTTATAAAAGGTTTATAAAACAAACTTTCCATTAAAAATTTATTTATAACAGTTTATAAAATAAAAGCTTGTTTATGAATAAGGCCTAAAACTTGTTTACTGAGAATTTCATTTCTAAAGTGGTATTTCTGAACCTGTAATGCGCGTTAAAAACATTTTTTAAGAAAGACTTTATATGAGGGGTAGGATCAAATACGAGCCGATCGTCATAAAAATTGGCACAGAGATTTTGGTTAATATAAAACTTATTTATGTAAAATTTCATCAGTATTCTGGTATTTTTATGCCAACTATGAGCTTTGAAGTAGGAGGCCTTTTATAAGAAGTGGGGGTCAATTATGAACCGCCCCTCATAAAATTTGGTAGAGTGATTTTGGTGCTCACAAAACATTTGTATTGTAAATTTCATTGCTAAAGTATTATTTTTTAGCCAGTAATAAGCGTTAAAGACATTTTCTGAGGGGACCTTATATGGGGGGTAGGATATAGTATTATGCACCGATCTTCATAAAATTTTGTATAAAACTTGCGTATGACGAATTTTATCACTGTACTGGTCTTTTTAAGCCAGTTATGAATGTTTGAACTGTACACCAGGGGGCCATTTGTGTGGGGTCTAGGTGAAATCGTGAACCGATCTTGCCCATTTTCAATACCAAACTGACCGTATCAATAAAAAGGATTTGTGGAAAATTCTAGCTTTTTCTGTTCCTGCTCTATCGTGTTTTTAACAGACTAACAGACTTACTTTTGGTCTTAGGCCAATATTTCAATACCAAGCAGATATAAAGAACATTTATGGATTTTTTTTAAAGTAGAGATAAGAAACAACTTGCCCATTTTCAATATCAAACTGCCCGTATCAATAAAAAGGATTTGTGGAAAATTCTAGCTTTTTCTGTTCCGGCTCTATCGTGTTTTTAACAGACTAACAGACTTACTTTATAGAAAACTTTCTATAAATAAAAATTTATCAAAAATTTTCTACAAAGGGAAACTTTATGGGAAATTTTGTATAAAATTTCCTATAAATAAACATGCTGAAAACTTTTTCTAATTAAAAAATTTTTGTAAAATTTTGTAAATAATTTCCTTGGAAATTTTCGATATCTGTAAGGCATACCTATAAAAAATTTCAAAAATAAGTTGATTCTTGGAATACTTGAATGTACATTCTTAAAAAAACACTCTATTGATAAGATTTGATTTAATCATTTCCATATTTTATCTTTATTAAAATATAGACATTATTGCGTTTAAAAACTTTTAAATACAATTTCTTTTTAACTCATAAAAAAGTTATTAAAAATAACAATATTGAATCATTTTCCAAAGTTTATTTATTTGGCGTACTTATGTATGTATTTTACTGGCTAAGTCTTAATGTTAAATAATTAATTTACAATTATCAAGTAGATTTGTAAATATTTACAATTATCTTTAAATGCAAGCTATTAACAATATTATTCTAATGGTAAACTGGATCTATGAACCAGGATTTTTTGCCATTTATATTTCTTTCAAAGGAACATACACATCATAGGCAAATATATGTCATCTTTGCCTATGATGTGTATGTATATAATTTTTTTTAATTTAACAATTTATAAATATCACATAAAAATTAAATTAGTGGAATTAGAAAGTAGATCGTGATTTCAATCTAATTAAAATTTTTGACAAATGGAATGACAAAATGTTTTTTAGTCGTGTTTCTCACACAATTCGATCTGATATATTTATAGAAAATAGTACAAATTGGATTTTAGTCAGAAATAGCCAGAACTAAACTGTAAAACAATAAAGCAATTTAAAATTTTGATTAGTGAGAAAGATGGAATAAAATGTTTGTTTAACTTTAATAAAATAAAATTATATTAATTTATCCTTTATAATGAAAATACTTACAATAACTTCATGGTAATTTATAATAATTTAATAAACAATATAATTGCAGTTAACTGCTTAAAAGGAACGAAAAAGCAATGTTATGGTATAATACAATAATTGTATCAAAATCATAGCAAGAAGTTTCATCCCTATTTTTTTTTAAATAGAAGAGAAGAGAGTATAAATACAATAATCGTTAAAATCTCCAAGGATCAGTCAACGTTAATAATAAAAACTTCTTTCTATACTTGCATCCATCCATCCATACATATACAACACAATTAGGTTTGTTGATGGTTTGAGTAGTAAGTAGTATTTGTCGGAAATAATAGTTTTGGTACGAGTAATTTGTAATTTGTTGAGGTTTTGTTTACAATAACATTGTTAACAGATCGTCAATTTTGATAAGACACTTGATACTTGACGATACAAACGAAATCGACTATCTCTTTCAGCTGAGATTCAATAACAATAGAAAACTGCAGTAACGTTTAACTCGATGATGGCAGAGCATAAATTATGGGAAGGAAGTAGTAGTTAAATGTAATAACAGTACATAGTAGATTGATGTGGCAAAGATATCGACCACACCAATTATTATTTATAATTTGTCCATCCCCTTTTCTTTTCATATGCTATTTGTACTTTGTTTGATTTCCTTAATTGTTTTAGTTAATTATTTTGGCAATTTTAAAGAGTTCTTGCAGATGCAATATTTTTTAGCCTGTTTATCATCTATACATTTGGCGGTTTTTTCATAAAGACTTTGTCTACTAATGTCATCAACATTTAGTATAATACTTTTGTTTTGTCTATTATAATCCAGGGTGGCACTAAATAGTGTCTTTGGTTCGGTTTTGGGATCCGTTGCAAAATCAATTACATAAGTGGTTATGTATTGAGAAGATTCATCTGCATCGCTTACTTTGGCATTTGTTATTTCTTTTAATTGCAATGGACTGCATAAAGATGTTATATTTTTGAGTTCATAATAACGATTCATTTCCTCTATAATCAGTTTTGCCACCGTCTTAACCTCTTCATTTTTTGTAGATTCTGCCCTAAAAGGTTTGCAAGTACACCATGTTTCTGGTATGCTGGCATCTTCACAAGTACGATTTTCTGGTATCTCCTCAAATATACTTTGACATTTGGGACAATCAAAAGTTTGCTGCATTTCATAGGTGGGTTCTCCCAATTTCAGCAAATGCTGCAGGGTCATATTTATGTCAAATGGATTAACTAAACGCTTTTGATTGATTTCTAAATTTCTTACGAGTTTAGGATATTCTTGTCGGAACCATTTTGGCAAAGATATGAAAAACATTGGTAAACGTTCTTCCAGAAAACTTTGCGATAATTTTAATAATGGACCCCATCTAACACCATGATCACTGAAGAACATTACCACCGAATTGTCAAATATTCCCTGCTTTTCCCACTCTTTAAAATACTTGACCATAGTGTTATCCATAGTGGCTGAGACATCATAGGAGTTATGACTAAATGAGTTAGTCCAGAAAAATCCAAAGCTCGTTAGATTCTTATAGCGTTTTACAAATTCCGTGCCATAATCATAGACATACTCTCCATATTGTCTACGTCCAACGCAATAATTTAATCCAGCCTTGGTTTTTTTCTTCATCGATTTTTCAATGGCCAGCGCTATGGGACGAAAGTAATAGTCGGTTGGTGGATTTTTAAAACCTTTCAGTTTGTAATTAAATGTTGTAATAGTAGTAGCATCTTCGGCGTAACCCGTATGATAACCATGTTTTTTAAATGTGGTCCATATGAAATTGCAGTTATCAAAACCACCCACAACATATCTGGGATTACATTTGTCGTTGACAGTGTTTCTAGTATAACCTGCTAACATTGGCATCAAATTGGGTAATGTATTGTCGCCAACCTAAAATATAATAAAAAAATACATAATTGTAGTTAAAATTTGAAGCATAGAGCCGAATAAGGGCGTATAAACCATTTGGGAAATTATACAGAAGAGCATAAAAACGTTATGAAACTTTAAAATGATATGTTTTTGATCAACTTTTTAAATATATCCTCAGATATGTATAATTCATAGCTATCCCTCTGAAAAAATTCAAATCACAACTTGCAAAAATCGGCACTCGAAATTTTACTAAAATGGAATAAGGGCATATAACCATATATTTATGTTGAATGTGTTCAGAAATAAATGATTTTTCATGTACTTATTATTAACTAAATAGGATAAAATTTGGACAGCATCAACATAAGAGACCAGAGTATAATTTGCTTAAGTTTCAAGGAAGTCCTTGATTATCCTTTTAAATTATTATTGGAGGTCTGGACAATGTCAACTATAGTTATTAGTATTACATTAATGCCTTACAAGGACAAAAAACTTCTTAACTTAAAACTATTAAAAAATTCAAAAATTGTCTTCTTAATATACAACTCTAAATATTGATATACTCCCTTTTTGATGTCCACATTAGTGCTGTTAAAGTATTGAGTAGTGGGTATCGAGTATCGAGTATTTGCCCTATTTTTTGGGTACTCAATACTAAAAAGTAGTTACTCAATACTTTCAGACTTGTATATGGATTTAACTTATTTAAATTTAACGGCTATGATGTGAAAAAATACAGCTCTAAAATCTAATATAGACCATATCATTATTAGAAATGCAACTCTTAGCAATATCAAATCAATGTAAAAATAATTTAAACACTGCAATAATAGTTAAAAAGTTACAAATATTTATCGACGCTATCTAAAAAAATAAAATGTCTCAAAAGAGGTGTGATGACTGGTCTAACTTTACTTAAAAAAAGGAAAAGTATTGAGTAGTATTGAGTAATCAAAAGTAGTAGAATATTACAGCACTAGTCCACATTGAGATTAATGTTGAAATAAAAGTTTTTTGCAATCTAATAAAATAATACATAGAACTGAATTTGATGCAATTAATATTTATTTATACGATTTTTAACAAGAAATACTTGATCATTTTGATATTTTTAAAAAATAATGTTACAAAAAGTGCTTTTAAAGCTAAATATTTTGGCGAAAACTTCGGATTTTTTAATTTATTTTTTCAGGAATAGATGTAAATAGATCAGATGATCACTATAATGTCGAAAACGCGATTTAGGCGAAGTGGTCTTTACGCCCTTATTCGCATCCATACTTCATTTATTGAAATTAATATTAAAGTATTTGAAAATATTACAAACAATTGAAAATAACTTTAGACCTATCTTATCTATCTATCTATCTATCGAGGAGCGAGCGAGCGAGCGAGCGAGGAGCGAGCGAGCGAGCGAGCGAGCGAGCGAGCAGCGAGCGAGCGAGCGAGCGAGCGAGCGAGCGAGCGAGCGACGGAGCGAGCGAGCGAGCGAGCGAGCGCGAGCGAGCGAGCGAGCGAGCGAGCGAGCAGCGAGCGACGAGCGAGCGAGCGAGCGAGCGAGCGAGCGAGCGAGCGAGCGAGCGAGCGAGCGAGCGAGCGAGCGAGCGAGCGAGCGAGCGAGGAGCGAGCGAGCGAGCGAGCGAGCGAGCGAGCGAGCGAGCGAGCTAGCGAGCGAGCGAGCGAGCGAGCGAGCGAGCGAGCGAGCGAGCGAGCGAGCGAGCGAGCGAGCGAGCGAGAGAGCGAGCGAGCGAGCTAGCGAGCGAGCGAGCGAGCGAGCGAGCGAGCAGCGAGCGAGCGAGCGAGCGAGCGCGAGCGAGCGAGCGAGCGAGCGAGGAGCGAGCGAGCGAGCGAGCGAGCGAGCGAGCGAGCGAGCGAGGAGCGAGCGAGCGAGCGAGCGAGCGAGCGAGCGAGAGAGCGAGCGAGCGAGCGAGCGAGCGAGCGAGCGAGCGAGCGGGGAGCGAGCGAGGAGCGAGCGAGAGCGAGCGAGCGAGCGAGCGAGCGAGCGAGCAGCGAGCGAGCGAGCGAGCGAGGAAGCGAGCGAGCGAGCGAGCGAGCGAGCGGCGAGGAGCGAGCGAGCGACGGAGCGAGCGAGCGAGCGGAGCGAGAGAGCGAGCGAGCGGACGAACCCACGAACGAACGAACGAACGAACGAACGAACGAAACGAAACGAAACGAAAACGAACGAAAGAAGAAAGAACGAACGAAAACGAACGAAAGAACGAAAACGAAAAACGAACGAACGAACGAACGAACGAAGAACGAAACGAAACGAACGAACGAACGAACGAACGAACGAACGAACGAAGAACGAACGAAGAACGAACGAACGAACGAACGAACGAACGAACGAAAGAACGAACGAACGAACAACGAACGAACGAAAGAAAGAACGAAACGAACAAAGAACGAACGAAGGAACGAAGAAGAACGAACGAACGAACGAACGAACGAACGAAGAAACGAAAACGAACGAACGAACGAACTAACGAACGAACGAACGAACGAACGAAACGAAGAACGAACGAACGAACGAACGAACGAAACGAAACGAACGACGAACGAACGAACAACGAACGAACGAACGAACGAACGAACGAACGAACGAAACGAACGAACGAACGAACGAACGAAACGAAACGACAACGAAAGAAAAGAACGAACGAAAGAACGAAAAAACGAAAACGAACGAACGAACACGAAAAAAACGAAGAAACGAAACGAAAACGAAAGAAAAAACGAACGAACGAATAACGAACGAACTAACGAAAAACGAAAAACAACGAACTAAACGAACAACGAACGAAAACGAACGAAGAACGAACGAATAACGAACTAAAAAACAACGAACGAACGAAGAACGAACTAACTACACTAACGTAACTAACTAACTAACGAACTAACGTAACTAACAGAACTAACTACGAACTAACTAACTAACTAACTAACTAACCTAAACTAACTCACTAACTAAACTGAACTAACTAACCTAACTAACTAACTAACTAACCTCACTAAACTAACACCAACTAAACTAATAACTAACTAACTAACTAACTAACCGAACTAACTAACTAACTAACTAAACTAACTAACTAACTAACTAACTAACTAACTAACTAACTAACTAACTAACTAACTAACTAATGTAACTAAATAACTAACACTAAAGATTATTTTAGACTGAAAAAGCTCAACTTTGAAAGCTATACATTTTTACATTCATTAAATAAAGTTTTTTGTGAATTATGAAATTGCTGATAATTCTATTACAAGTGTATAATTACAAGTAATTGTAATTATACCTTCCCTTGCCTACCTATCATAAGAGTTGGAACTAAAACATGGTTTATATTTTCAGGCAATAGTATTATGTACACTGACTCAACAATATTTTATAATATTTTCTAAAATATTTGTCCGATTTACAAAAAAATTGTTTCTCAAGATAGATAATACTGTCCTAATAAATTTTCTAAATGCAAAAATTTTAAATAATACTCAATGTTTTTGTAAATTATTTTTTAATTGCAACATCTCTATAATCAAACTCACAAAAATGTCCGTACAGAAGAAAAACAGTTAAAGGATACAGCTCTAAAATATAACGGTGCGTTAAAATGAGGTGTAGTCTAATATCTTATGTAATCAGGATTGCTTTAAAGTCTTTCCGTTAAATTTTTACTTTGTTTACATTTAAAATAAGTGTAAGAATAATGCCGTTACCAAAAATCCTATCAAAATCATATAATTAATAATTTAAATGAGTAATGAAAGAACATTTTTCGCAAAATATTCTCAAATTGTATGTAGGCCACTATCTTCTCTTTAATATATTAAAGAAATGTACAAATAATCGGGAAAATTGGATGTTAAAATGTATCTGTAAATGCCCAAACTATAAAAAATTTTCTTCATCTAAATCAATATAAGGCATGTGTTCGACCTAAGAAAGTGTTTATTTCAGTAAAGAATGTGAAGAACGCTTGGAGTATCCCGATATTACGCAAACAAAGCGGAATACAACTGGAAAACTATATTTTGTTACAGTTGGAAGTAAGTACAACATTTTCGGATCAGAAAGCCAAAGATTTGTGTGGCGTAAACAAAATGTCGCTTGTGAATTAAAAAAATCATAAAGCAAGTGTGAAATCCATTGGTGGTATTGTGATGATGTGGTGTATAATGTCTGTAGAATGTTTCCAAAACATCATATTCGTGGAAGGACATTGGATAATATAATTTATTAAATATTTTTAAACCACATTTGGAAGCCAATGCAGTAAAATTAGGCATCAGTTCGTTTATGATAACAACCCAAACCGCTTGTCGAAAATTTAAAGTGAATGGTTAGGTGGCAACGTAAAAGAAGTACTTCCTACCCTTTTCAGAGTCGAGATCTTAATCCCATAGAACACATATGGGGAATTTTGAAGAAAAAAACTAGGTAATATAGAGTTAATAACAAACTAATGTTAAAGTATTCAATTCATGCGGAATGGCTGAATATTCACAATGTAATCGATAGTAAATCGGTCGTAATCTGTGAAAAATAGCTTTTAAGATGTTACCCCAAGGCGTATTTCTTTGAACTCACTATTAAAACTATGCTTACCAAATTTAGGACACGTTTAAGTTGTAAGGGTTATGATATACCGACAATTGTTTTGAGTTGCATTCTAGAGGTGTTACAATTAAAAAATAATTTACAAAAATATAGAGTATTATTTAAAATTTTTGAAATTAGAAAATTTATTAGGACAGTATTATCTATCTTGAGAAACAATTTTTTTTGTAAATCGGACAAATATTTTAGAAAATATTAATTGTTTGAGTCAGTGTATATTGATCTTGGCAATGTTAGTTATAAAAAACGTATCAAATCATACAGTAAGGAAATGATTATGTATAACATTGTGCCAAGAAAATAAATTTATTATTTGCTTTATTTTAACGATTTATTATTTTCAAATACGACCAAAATCAAATAAGTACCATTGCGATTTGAGTTTGAG